GGGAGTAAGGCTGTAAAATTTCAATGAGAGAGGAAATGGTGAGGATTCATTTAGAGAACCCATATAGGACATGTCGATGATTTTGAGTTCAAGTCATGGAGCTTTAAGGGCCTAAAAAATCAACCAGCCTATGAATTCAAATTATTCAGAGGGATCTACCACAGGGGAAAAGTGTTAGGAATTATCCTCTAGAATTCCGGCACTACCCCAATTTGTTGGTAGGTATGGGCATTTTCAATTATTTTTGGTCTAGTACCGCAAAATTTGGGTTAGTAGCTTAATTAACCACAAGTAATTGGGGTACTGTCAAAATAATTTGGAAATGCCCATATTATTCAACATCCCCGTGCTCTATTTTACCTGCACACATTAAGAGAGGTCCAGGTTGACAAACACATTTTAAATAAAGTTTCAGCATACAGTTTGTTCCTTTGACAACGTCTAGGAAACGACGATTAACTCCAGAGCGCCTTCAATTTACCGCTATGCAACACGGACACCCTTCGAGAACGAATAGTTGCATTGAAACGTCGCCATACGTATCAGCATACGTTACGTTATATTGAAACTCCGACATTAATCCATTCAAACTCGGGAGATAGTGTGAAACCTCACGACCTGAACTTTCGCTGTTTTGCGATGTCACAATAGAAACGCTCGCTCTGCATTGAAAGGTGTGATTAGGGGTGGGAGACGTTGAACCCTGATTTCATCGCTCCTCTGACGTAAAGACGTATCTCTCTTTCCGTGTGAGCCCTGAAAAGCATGGAGTTATATGAAGAACAGGGCTATTGTAGAGATCGGGATACACCCTCATTTCAGAGAGACGGCGATTTAATCTGATGCTACGCGGGTGAGATTCACTCTCGCATTTGGATGTATTCCTATCAAACGGAACTTTGTGCATTAAGACTTGAGCCCTGAGACCCATAAGAATACATGGATAACAGGGCTCACGTCATAATGCACATAGTTCCGTTCGGCAGAAATACGTCCATTTAGAACAACGGCAAAGTTAAATACGAGTCCGGATGAAAACGAGGCCGGTGGAATTGTTTCCCTGAATTGGAAAGCGCAGCGCACACCACTGTTTGTTGACGCTTGTGCCCATTATGAGCTTCCCAGCAAACAAGTAGCGAAATTTCAATTTAGAGGACTGAATGGAATGAGCTACTGGCCATGCCGCCCGTGGCAGGACTTCAATACACAACACTTTCCGAGTACACGGATCGTCTTAAAACTCTAGTTTCAAAGAGTTGTTGTTTTAATCATGATGTTTTCACCCTCATTATTACATACATATGAGTCGCTTTCGTAGCGCTCTCTGGCGCTCTGCGACACCTAACCGCCAAAAAACTCGGTCCTCCCCCAACCCGTCGCGGAATAAGCACTCCTTCATTGCATTCAAAACCCCCTGCCGCTATACCCTTTCACTAGGCGTCCCCTTCGTCTCCTCCCGGGATGAACTCAATCAACCACCTTTTTTGGCAGCCTCTCTTCCGTCATCCTATTAACATGACCGCACTAGACATACTAGACAAGCTGTTTGGTCATGACGTCGAACACCCTCATCATTTCCCAGACAAAATAACGTGATGTTCCAAGGGTAAAACGTTGGCTATTACGATTAAATTCTTTGCAAGAATAGGGCAGTAATGTTTCTATCCAAAATTTTACCGATTTGTGCTTGAAATACAATTCTTGAATGGAAATTTTATAAAAGTTAAATGTTGATACTTTCTCTCATCAACATATTAAAAGAAGAGAGGTTATCAACTTTTTTGTTAATCACTAATGGGGGTCTAGGGGTTTTGATTTTTATAATTTTAGTTGTTTATTATTTCCTGGTCAAAGGTGGGGTTGAAACCACCCCGAAACGTCCCAGACTTGTAGTTGTTGTTTTTTAGCCTCATGGTTACCCATTTTCTTGTAATTTTTAGCTAATTGTATTGCATTGCTGTGTTAGCCTTGTATTACAACTGAGTTTCAGTTCATTTTTTTTATCTTCTTATCACTGCTGAGCGTTTATGTATCCATTATAAATTGAAAATGTTGATTGTTTTTACAAAGTAGCTCACTAGTATAAGAAAATTTACCATACGCCAAAACGATGTCTTCCCTTATCACAGCAGGAGGACAGTGTTTAGCCAATAATTGAACATATATCAATGTTAAAAGAAACTATATACATAGAGTTTGCGTACTGCTTAGTTATTTCTAGCATAAATACATCCAATTGAACCGCGTTGAGCAGAAAGGCACCAAGCCACATCTTCCATTGCCAAATTTCATTGGGCAATTTTATTTTTTTACATGAAAACGGCTGAGCGGATTTTTGTGCAAATTTTAGTGAATTTTCCGAATAGTACGAGGGGAATTCCTCGAAATTTTCGAAGGAATTCGCACAAACGTTTCCTCGTAAAAATTTAAATTGCCCAGTTAAATTCGGCACTAGCTGACGTGACTTGGTTCCTTTCTGCTAAACACGGTCCAATTAATATATTGATGGACGTGTGATCGGAGCTAGACGGTCTGGGTTACGTAGCGGCCGGGAGACGTACTGCCGTGCTAAGGAAGAACGCTGTATGAACCTTCAGACGTTGCCAAACTTCCTCTGGCAAATCACTAATTTTCAGGAAGTTTTTTTAATTTTTTTCTGCTAATTTCTCAAATAAATTTGTTGGTAATTTGATCTAAAGTGCCGGAAAATTTCAAGGAAAAATATTCATAATTTTGCTCAGTGATAAGCATTTTATCGAAGGGATTTTTGCAACTCTCAAATGCTCATACGACATTTTACCTTATCACGGCAGCGTACCCCTTGGCTTTTTTTTTTTCTTTTCTACGATTTCGATCGACGAGCTATTATGTGAGCAAATGTCGATCAACACCGATGCCCGTGGCGCGGAGGTGTCAGCGACGCCGAGTTTCCGTAAGACTCGTCCTGGATGCGAGGATTCCATCTATGGTCATTGCAGGTCAGGTATAGACGAGAACAGTTAGCTTTGTCTAAAACGGTAGGTGAGCCTCAGCTTAGACCAGACGCACGTCAAGTCTGCCCTCTCCGGAGACTGACGTATTGCCGATGCGTTCCTTCGGGTTTGGAGGACTCTAATGATCAAACGCAGACCTCCTACGAAACGCAGTGCACTCTCACGAGTAGTTTCAGACCTACTCCCGAAAAGAGAGTTCGGTCGAAAATACTGAAGTCGACCATCAGGCAGCACCTGGTGCTAAATCCGACGTTAGCTATATTTTCCTCGACTTAACGGAGAGAAATTTCGATACAAAAGTTTGGTTATACGCTAAGTAAAACACAAAATAACCCTAGCCTTCGTTTGAAAATTTCAAGAGAAGATGCCAGCTAGTTTTCTTTAAGTAGTTTAATAAAAAAACGAGTGGTGAACACTGGAAAAAAACCACATTGGATCTAGAGTCCAGACTCTTAAAAATATCGACAAGAAAAAATACTCTTGATTCAATCAGAATCTAGCTGAAATCAAGAACCAAGCCTCTTAATTTAAGCGGATTTCGTTTTGATTCAAGCAAAAATCCGATTGAATCAAGAGTATTTTTTCTTGTCAATGTTTTCAAAAGTCTGGACTCTAAATCCAATGTTTTTTTTTTTTTTTCATTTCCACAGTATACCAACGTCGCAATCGGAGGAATGCATTTTCCCTGTCTCTTCATTGTTTTCTGCGCTAAAACCTATTAAAATCAACACAAAATTTGTGTTGGTTTGTGTTTCACTTCTTATATTAACCAAAAGTAACACACAAGCATAAATATTTTTATCAGTCTAGTGCTATAATATCTCACAAGAAACCACGACACTATGACTCGAAATTTAATTATCATACTCACTTCAATCCGAAGGAATTCTTCCCTAGAATTGAATGCAGTATGTTGCTTATTTCTGTCGTTTAAAAAAAGAGGGGGATGCAGAAATTAGGTGACGTGATTTTTATAGATCTTTCTGGGGTGAGATTACCGAACGAAATCAAGCTGAGCATAATGATAATTATAGTATGACACGCAACGCGAACACTAAGCTAATTTCATTATAACGCCTGGATGCAACTATTCGAGCTTTACGGATGTCCGTTTTGCATACGCACGGATATGAAGGCGTTTTGGCTCTTAGGGCACTCGCCGCTTATCCTCTGCGCTGCGCAATGCAACGGCGCAGCGAATTGTTCAGCGAAGATCCATATAAACAGAGTGCCTCTAAATCTATACGTTTACACCACGGAGATATAAGAAAAATTACCCCAAGCCAGGAGATATGCTTATTAATTTTATAACGCTTTTTCAAGTAGTCCACGTCATTTTTCACCAGGTTCTATTTTTTTTTTTTTTTTGAAGATAAACAAGCTTCAAAAATTTAAGTTTACCGAGGCAAAAATAACGTATGACGGGACTGCCGTGCTAAAGAAGAGCGCCGTATGAACTTTCGAGCATTGCCAAATTTCTCCGGATAAAACTTGAATTTTTAAGGAAACTAATTATTTTCCTTAAAATTTTCAAAAATTGTAAAGTAAATTACATAGAAAATTCTTTGAAGATGCTGAAGAAAAATATTCAACATTTTCAAATTAAATTCTGTTTTTAATGCAGAAAATATGGTAAAGTCTGAAGACTCATTCGGCGTTTCCCTTTGGCACGACAGAGACTGTCTGCAACATCGCAAACGGAGATACCTACTTGGTTTTGCACTTTGTTCATGGAAATGATTATATCATATTTTTCTAATATTTCTTTTTTATAGTAATTTATCAATTTTTTTCATATTTCCTCCCATTATTTATTTACTTATCATGATATAGTTGAATAACGAAGGAAACAGAGCGAGGGGACGACCAGACGCCTTAAAGGAGGCGCGCGACCACAGACGCAAAACGAAGACAGAAAAAGAATAGTCTGGCTAACCTTGCCGTCTTGCAGCTCATTATGAAACTGTGTCCGCGCGGACGGACCAAGAAAGAATCGGCAAGCCGCGACCGCCAGCGACCGATCAGTTCAACGGCAGACCAACGCACAGAAACAGCGTTCGGTTTCCTAGTCGCTCCTTTCGCAACCGCGCGCGCGCAAAAAAAAAAGTCTTACGAATCCACATCCAGTCCGTGTTTCTCGAGTTTTGGAAGTAGTGTTTCTCGTTCGCTGATTTTTGGTTCCGCGCAATAGGATCCCAGTGACTCGAACGCCCGGCTAGAAACGTGTACAATCGTGCTAGATCAAACCCAGTGGATATTCTAGAGGATATCCTAGTGGATATTCCAGATTCGGTGACTCGAACGCCCGGCTAGAAACGTATACAATCGTGCTAGATCAAACCCAGTGGATATTCCGGATTCGGTGTATTTTTCGACGTTTTCGGAGTGAGTGCGTGTGAGATAGTGGTGGCCAATAGAGTTGGTCGGCGTTCCATGTGTCGCTTTGTCCGAGGAGAGTCGAGTGTTTCCGCCGCTGGGAAGGGTAGTTCTCGGGGGAAGGGTAGTTCTCGGGAGTCGCTGCGAGTATAATGATAATTTACCCACCTCAAACACCGAGCATGGCTTTGAGTAACAGTCAGTTCACAGGGAGCAAGTTCCGTGGGGGGTCCCGGGGTAACTTCAAAAAAGCCAGGCAAGTCCCGACGCCGTGCCCCAAGAGGCAGGTCGTTCACTGGAAGCAGAACAATATCAAACAAGGGATTGTTGTCGTCGACGAGCAGCAGCTCTCCAAACTAATTAAAACGGACCCGATTGAAAACCATTACGAGCTGGACCCGGAACCCTTTGCAACGTAAGTCTCCTCCTTTTTTGCCCTGTTTGTTTTGGTTTTAATGACGGACCGGACGAGGTCTCTTCTGCGAATCGCACTCGCCGAACTCATCGCCGGGTTGCTTTCCGGTTAAAAGAACGTCACTAAACAATTTACAAGGGATAAAAAAATGTTATAGGGGTGATCCCCTAAAATTATGTTACTGTCCCATTTTGTAGGGCTATAAGGGCGTTTTTAATTAATTGCGGTAGTACCGCAATCGCGTTGTTTTCTGGATAAAAGAACTTAACTATACATTTCACACGGGACAACAAAATTTTTTAGGGGTAACCCCTTAAAATTATGGTGGTACCCTGTTATGTTGGATTATAAGGACATTTTAAAAATCAATTGCGGTAGTACCGCAAAAGCGTTGTTTTCCGGATAAAAATACGTAACTAAACATTCCATACGGGATAAAAAAATGTTGTAGGGGCAACCCCCTAAAATTATGGTTCTACGCTATTTTTTTGGATTATGTGGGCATGTTCAATTAATTGTGGTAGTACCTCGTCCGCGTTCTTTTCCGGATAAAATAACGTAACTATGCAATTCACATGAGATAAAACAATGTAATAGGGGTGATCCTCTAAAATTATGGTACTACCCCAGTTTGTTGGATTATATGGGCATTTTCAATTAATTGTGATAGTACCGCAACTCAAATTGGGGGTAGTGCCGCAACAGTTGGGCTTGTAAAACAATTTGTTGGGATACCCCCTACCATTATTTTAAGCTCCCTAATCAATTTGTGTCTTAACCCCTATACCTCTTCTTTTCCGTTCAACGACTGAGAAAAATAGTGCGGTCGTATCATCATTTCTGTAACGCATACACCTAAACGGACCACCTCTTTAATTGGAAATTGTTGGACACTTCAGATTCAAATCTTTGTAGATTTTACCACCGAGAACAAACAAAAAGCAACATATTGGACGGACACGCTGATCAAATTCTTGTGAGAAATTGAATTGTATACGCCAATTGTTCATCTGATGGAGTTGTGTTCATTTGAATGGAGTTGAACTGCGTTTAGCTTTTTCCAAACCCAGTGGCGATTCTCAAAAGTTAGCAACACTGCTTTTTCTCCATTTAAATCCATCAAAAATTTCAACTTTAGGTAAGGCTATTTGCCTCACCAAGAATCGGTCGTTTTACATACATTTAAATAAAGTGAAACAGTGTTGCCAAACCTCAAGAATCGCCTCTGTCCAGACGAGGAAACGTATGAACTTCATTCAAAAATTACAAAAGTTAATAAAAAAATTATTTTCCTCAACGAGGGAGACTTTGCTGTTTCTGTACAAAATTTTGTTGGTTCTCAGTGCAACCTAAGGGAAGTTCAATGGAATTATGGTCAAAAATTCCGAATGGTTTCATAGTAAAAACACAATATGTGAGTGGAAGAAATCTATATGAATTAAAACGATCATTGGAACTTCATTTTCATTTCCAGCCAATAATCTGACGCAGCTAGTTCTATGAACCTTCCCTTCTGACTTTGTTCCACAGAGCCTTCATCATATCAACAAAACTGAAGACTAATAAAATAATATAAAGCATGTTAAATTTATTCGTTCATGGTATGATTGCACTTAAATACATAATAGCCGATGTAATGACCAGTATGTATTGAATTTACGGACTTGAAAACGTTCAAAACTTGCTCCGGAGATAATTTAATACACTCACACGGCGCGTTCCATACCTGACATTTTATGAGAAATTTTGTGACGTAGTGCTCAAATTCTCAATGCACAAATATAAACATGTTCGGAAGTCTATGTTCCTGGACTCGTATTTCGTCAGCTTGAGTGCATTTGAGAGAGGCCTTGACAAATCAGAGAGCCGTGTGGTGCAACATGTTTTCGTCAACACAGGCAACCAATGCTGATAGAATTCGGACCTTTGACATTGAATCATCAAAAACTATTTCACCCACGAATTATGCTTCCTGATCGAGATATTTTTTTAATCCAAAAGGCTGTCGGGAAGACAGCAAGCTTTTGGATCAGGGCTAAATTCGTTGTTCTCCTCCAGAAAGAACGTAACTACATTTCAGTGTTGCCAACTTTCCCCTCGCAAATTGCATTTTTACCTGAAGAATATTGGGCATTTCTAATTGAAAATTTCACTGACTTTTCCCCGGATCTCATGCGAAAATCAGAAAAATTTTAGACTTAAATTGCACGGGTACATTTTTGTAAAAACAATAAATTCTTTGGACCAATTTTGCAACCTTGGAATAGAGTTACGTTCCTTCGTCCAGGAAACGAGGAATTGAGCCATTTTTTGCAGGACCGACGCGACGCGTCAGCTGCAATGCTGCTCCAACTAGGCAACTTTAAGTTCGTTCAATATACTGCAAAGGAAGATTGTGCAATCTAAGCAAAGCTTCCAAGCTTATGCGCTACTTTTGCAATAAATTATCTAACAAGTCAAAAACATGCGTTCACATATTGCTGTGCATAGCGAAAACCATGAATACAGATTGTGTGTTAGTTGAAGGTACGCGGTTTTTCCTCGAGTCTGCTTTGCGCTTTATCGATCGATCTGTCATTTAAACATATGGAAAAGGATCGATAAACAGGGTGTTTGCAACGAACACCTTAATAATCGATTCTTCACCATAGCTTCAAATGGAAGAAATATCGAAAGTCGATCTTCTCGCCTCGTCCGTGATGAGAAATAACTAACCCAAGAGTTCCTTTGACATCCGATGCATATTGTGAGAAGTTACAAGATGACTAGATTTAGATTGGGTCTAGTGGAAAATAGTAAGTTTTAGGAAACTTTCTTTTACTTATTGAGGGGTAAATTTTCAATTTCGCACTTTTGATTTTAATTAATTGTAGGTAGGAGCTGCGTCTGTTCATTTCTGGCCAAACAAGTCGAAATCGCGTGATGATCACTATTTAATCGAATTCTCAACAGCCTGTTCCCCTTTTTCTAAACGAAGAATCAATTCAAAGAAAAGAATATAATGTGCACAATTTACCTTTCTTCTGAGAAAGAACGTAAATTCATTTCACCGTCACTAAAGTTCTGCTCAAAACTTATATAATTACTATGCGACTATTGAACCTTTATTACTGCAAATTTCGCCTAATTTTCCACGGATATCAGTGAAAAAACAGAGAAATTATAGGCAAGCATTGTCCGTCTTTTTTTTTTTACGAAATAAAGAATTTAGTGCGTGTAATTTGCGACCTTGGAATAGAGATACGTTCTTTCGTCTGGGAAACAACGAGTTGGTCCTCTCACTTATTTTCCATCAGGGCAATCAATGTATGTAGAAAAAAGAATCATTAGTATTCTGATGTTTATGGAGTTATTCTACTTGACTGATGAACAGTTTTATTTATTTTCTAAAAAAAAACTGGGTTCCCTTCCTTAGGACGGGGTCCGATTCCGGTACATTCGGCAGTGCTTGCGTCGATTGCGAAATTCAGAGGGAACTTTTGACGAAGGAAACTTTTCAGACGGATCGGGCTGACGAAACGGTTCGCTCGTTCTGGGTGTTTTAATTATTTACAATTTCTGGTACATTTGGCAGTGCTTGCGTTGCAGTCGAAACTCCGGCGGAACTTTTGATGTTAAAACTTTTAAGACGGATCAGGGCGACGACCGACTTGACGGAACGGAGTGGGTAACTCTGATTTGTTGCCTGAAATCCGCTGCATCTTTGAATATTTGGACGTAACCGTGCCAAAACAAACTGTGTGCGAATGAATTGAATCGGAAGGTTAATTCTCTTTTGTGATTATTCTTTCTCTTTTCTTCTTCTGTCTCTTTTTTTCTTCATTTTCTTTTCTTCGTCGCCCTCTTCTCTCCTTCTGCCTCTTTCATTTTTCTTTCTCTTTTCTTCTTCTGTCCCTTTTCTTTTGCTTTCTCTCTTCTTCTTCCTTCCCTTCTTCTTTCTCTTCTCTTCCTCTGTCTCTTTTCTTCTTTTCTTCTTTCTCTTCTATTCTTCTTTCTCTTTCCTTCTTCTATCTCTGCTATTCTTCTTTCTCTTTCCTTCTTCTATCTCTGTTATTCTTCTTTCTCTTTTCTTCTTTTGTCTCTTTCATTATTCTTTCTCTTTTATTATTCTTTCTCTTTTCTTCTTCTGTCTCATTCTTCTTTCTATTTCCTTCCTCTGTCTCTTTTCTTCCTCTTTCTCTTTTTCTCTTCTGCCCTTCTCTTCTTCTTTCTCTCTCCTTCTGTTCCTTTCCTAATTCTTTCTCTTTTCTTCTAAAAATTATTTTCTTCTTCCGTCCCTCCTCTTTTCCATCCCTTTTTCACTATGAAAATCTGCAGTTTCAGTCAAAAATCCCGAGTTGAACCTCTCTCAGCATCTCGCTCCATTGTGTGGCGGTTAAAATGAATGATTTATCTCCACGGTGTCTTTAGTAGCTACGCAAAAACTGAATTTTGCCACCCGCGGCTCACGGGTAAAAAATCGAGAATGGTAGTAGAGACACGGCGTCATCGGCAGGTGACTCAAATTAAGTTACCCCGACGGAGTATAACGAGGTGAACTGACCAAATCGGTCTTTTGAGCAGCCCTTTTTTATCTTTGATGTCTCTGAAGACCGAGTTAATCGCGCATCAAAGTCACGAAAGCGACTCGATTAAGCTCCGCCGCCTCCCTCGGGCGCTGAAAGATAGTGCTACATGCTTGACCAAATAACAAACCCAAATTTAATTGCGTTGTATTCGCTGGCATAAAACGCGTAAGCCCCTCGCGTTCACTAATTTTGTTTTCATTCCCCTCATCACCGGATCATTTACGAGTTTTTGGCCCCGCCCTACATATTTATCTTCGGGAGCCCCTCGCTCTCTCAAATGAGGAATATTTCCCAGCTAGGCTTATCGTTCATAGGGATGGGAGGGGAATTTTACCTGCCATGCTAGCGGAAACGCCGTATAAGCCTTTAAAAGTAGCCAGATTTTGTCCAATGAAAACCGGATGTGCTAGGAAAACTCTGAATACATTTTTC